AAGAAACAAAAAACAAGGAAATGCAAAAACACAGGAACATGAAAAACAAATTGCCACATTTTTCCATTTTCTATAATTTTCGGTTTTCTTAGCCAGTAGTCTCAGTAATAATGATAATAAAATAATAATAATAATAATATCAATGATAGTGATCACCATCATCATCATCATCATTAATCATCGTATTGTGATGCTATTACCAACAGCAACAACCGCGGCACCAATAATATTCGGAATACTAGGAAGAAGAAAAAAAAAACTCGTACGGTTTGAGATGAATACAGTGAAATTTCGGACGACACTGGTGATGATGAAGAGATAATAGCGGTGATAGGGACGACAGTGGTGATTGTGATCCCGAAAAATAACAATAAAAAATAATAATGATAAAAAATACAACAAACATCAATTATAACAATTCAATTTTTTTTGTTTAGTTTTATCATTACTTTGTGCGGTTTACTTTTTTATCAATAAATTCAATGTTACCAATTTTACTTCGATATCCCTGGAGATCATTTCTTAAATGCATAGATTGAGACTTTCAATAAAAAAATAAAACAAAATAAAATAGAAGATAAAAGTAACGCAACTTAAAACAGTGACAATAATATCTGCTAATAACCGGACTGCAAGAAAAAGGACAAAGATAACAAAGAAACTTAATAAGAACAGCAATAACAAGTAAAGGATAGAATTGGTACGAACGGACAATGATAAACTTGATAATGGTGAAAAAGATGGTGATATTAGAACACTAAGAACGGCAAAATAATGATGAGGATAACAATCACAAAAACAGAGCCAGTAATCAAGAGGATCATATTTATGGTACTTTGTGGCAAACTAAAGGCCCCGTTTATAAATAGTAACTGATTAGGTAACAATGAAAATTTTGATATTGGTGACATTACTGATAGAAGTGATTATGATGATAGTAGCGATGGTGAGGAGGAAAATCTACTTTATCAACCGGTTTAGGACTCTTCAATTACAAATCTACAACCCCCCCACCCCCCATCTTTCGCCGGCGCAAGGGCTCGGGAGGAGTGAGCGGCCGGGCGTTCTCCCCGAAGGAATCGCAAGAGTCAACTCCACTCTAATACCATCACCCCAATGTAAATTCGTGGAAATCACTATTTTGCTCATGTGTGTATGTGTGTACATATATATATATATATATACATAAATACATACACAGATGTGTATGTATGAGTATATGTATGTGTGTGTGTGTGTGTGTGTGTGTGTGTGTGTGTGTGTGTGTGTGTGTGTGTGTGTATGTGTGTATGTGTATATGTGTATGTGTATGTGTATGTGTGTATGTGTAATTGTATGTGTGTGTGTGTGTATGTGTGTGTGTGTGTGTGTGTGTGTGTGTGTGTGTGTGTGTGTGTGTGTGTGTGTGTGTGTGTGTGTGTGTGTGTGTGTGTGTGTGTATGCATATATATATAATATACATATATATGATATATATATATATATATATATATATATATATATATATATATATATATATATATAATATATAATATATAATATATAATATATATATAAATATATATATATATATATATATATATATATATATATATATATATATATATATATATATATATTTATATTTATATATATATATTAATATATATATATATATATATATATATATATATATATATATATATATCATATAATATATACATGTATATATATATATATATATATATATATATATATATATATATATATATATATATATGTATATATGTATATATGTATATATGTATATATGTATATATGTATATATGTATATATATATATATATATATATATATATATATATATATATATATATATATATATATATATATATATATAATGTGCGTGTATGAGACAATTGGCCTTCCTAATTGCCCTTTTCTATTAATTAGAATAATTAACAAAATATATACTCACAATGCAGTGTTTCTCTTCTTGGTAATTTTCCCTTCGGCTACCTGTCAATTATGATTCAGAAAATGCCACTGCATTAATGGATGCCTTGGTGAATGCCTAGTTAACCTCATTCAGATTTCATATTGAAATAATTGCATATCTATTCATGTACAACGAAAGGTATTGTGTGAAGTTCTGCAGTTCTTTCTGAGGGCGAAAATCAGTGCATCCCTCAGTCTAACGTTAAACACATAGGTGCTAAATAACGATTACGGAGGCAATCCTTACCCCTGTAGATTTCTTTATCGTGTCGATCAAGGGCCGGAAGTGACGTTGATCGGGCTGGTCGCGGGGGGGAGCGAGCGGAAGCCTTGGGGCTGATGGTGACAATCTCTTTGTGACGCGTGATGCCGGGCCCCTTCTTGCTCGTCTCCACTTCGGGCTGACCTTCCCTCCCCCCCCATCCGTCTTCCGCACCCAATCGGGCTGAGATGTAATCCATCTGCAAGGAAGAGTAATCTTAGTACAGCCGTATTCAAAAGCAAAGTGCTAGAACACGATGCTT